TATTCATATTTATCTATGAACTCAACGTTAAGCGATGTGTTTAGATCGCATCCCATTCACATCCCACTCTCAACCTTACCCGACTTCACATCCCTCCGTCACCTCCCGGATTCTTACACGTGGACACCTAAAGACGATCTCCTCTTCTCCGCCGCCTCTGCCTCCGACCAATCCCTACCGTCCATCGACCTGGCCGATCCCCAAGTGGCCACTCGTGTGGGCCACGCCTGTGCCACATGGGGTGCGTTCCAGATCACAAACCACGGCGTGCCATCACGACTTCTGGACGACATTGAGTTCCTCACCGGAAGCCTTTTCCGGCTTCCGGTCCACCAGAAACTCAAGGTGGCTCGGTCGGAGAATGGCGTCTCCGGCTACGGTGTTGCTCGTATTGCTTCTTTCTTTAATAAGCAAATGTGGTCAGAAGGTTTCACCGTTATTGGCTCCCCATTTGACGATTTCCGTAAACTCTGGCCCAACCATCACCTCAAATATTGGTATGTATCTTTCTATAACATTCATTTTTCTAATTTTAGACCATATAGCATAAATATATCTTCGTATTATTGACTCAACCAAAAAGATAATATGTGGACGTTAGTACATGACTTTACAGTTGACTAATCGATTTATGCTGATTCGGGAATAATCCCAAAAAAGAAAAGGCACAATGACATATTTACGATTTAATTATTGTCATGTCGAAGTTTAGTAAAAAGCACAATGAAAGCTCATGGACCCACCAGTCGATTATCTGTATTAGTGCTACTTCACAATATGTCATTTCTGGTAGGGATTAAAAAAATATATATACAATTATGTCATTTGTTGACTCGTGAAGATTCAATGATCGAACTGTTTAATTCTACTTGAGCGAATGTGAAATAAGAACATTTGGTTGAAAATTTTAGCTTTATGATTTCAGATACTAATTTTCATATCGATTCAACAGTGAGATTATCAAAGAGTACGAAGAACACATGCAAAAGTTGGCAGCGAAGTTGATGTGGTTGGCATTAGGTTCACTTGGAGTCGAAGAGAAACACAATAAATGGGCCGGGCCTAGCTCGGATTTTCAAGGGGCCCAAGCAGCTATCCAACTAAACCATTATCCAATATGCCCCGAACCAGACCGAGCCATGGGTCTCGCGGCTCATACCGACTCGACCCTCTTGACCATACTGTACCAGAACAACACCGCCGGTCTCCAGGTTTTCCGGGATGACTTAGGCTGGGTCACAGTCCCACCTGTACCTGGTTCACTCGTGGTCAATGTCGGTGACTTGCTCCACATTTTGACCAATGGGATATTTCCAAGCGTGCTTCACCGAGCCAGGGTTAACCACGTCAGGTCTCGGCTCTCGATGGCTTACCTGTGGGGGCCACCTTCGGATCTGATGATCTCACCACTTCCCAAACTCGTTGATCCTCTCCAGTCGCCCCTTTACCCATCTCTCACTTGGAAACAGTACCTTGCAACCAAAGCTACTCATTTTAATCAGTCTCTTTCTTTTATTAGAAACTATGATCTGTCTTCAGACCAACTCTCTTGATCTTGTTTTGTTTTCTACTTTCTTCATAATTAACTAGATTTCAGATGAGTGGTTTCTCATATTTAAAGCGAGTAGAGTAACTTTATTTAGTTAGGGTCTTACTCGCTTAAACATAGCAGCAAATGGTGCGAATGCGGTTGCGGTTGATATATACACTACCAAATACATTCAATATGTAGTTTAAATATAATAAAAAAAAGTTATTCCATATTTTTGCGTTTCAAGCCATAAAATTACTTCGTAATAGGCTAAATATTGTTAAAATTAGGGTTAATACAATTCTTAGATTTTTTGTTAGATCTTAGACTTTTGATTTGGTTTTCAGGATTAACTATATTTTGTAAAGTTTGTTCATTTTATCTGATATTATTGGCTAACCATATTTATAGACACTAAACTCACAAAAAACCGCATAAACAAGGATATCTGATCTTAGACTTAGGTTTTGTAACTCACAAATTCTAAAAAAAAAACAAACTAGTTTATTCTGAGGTTCATAAAAAAAGAAATGAGTGAAATTTTTATGAAGTAAAAGTTAAATTGTTTCCACTATTTATTGTGGTAAAAAACAAAAAAAATCGCTAAGAAAGCTTGCTAACATAAAGTTACATTTTTTTCGAAAGATAGTTTTTTGTGTTCTAAAGGAAAAATTATAAAAAATGATCAAAACCAAGTTACCAAGTATCATTAACTGCTTTCCATTAAGCATTAGGACAACACCATTTGTAACTCATACCATGCATGAGTACACTTGTTTTAATTATAACATTAGTAATTTATGTGTTTCCAATCAAATTGCTTGGAAATTGGATTTTTTACCAAATAAATTAATCCGAATTTGATTAATATTTACAGATACTAATGATGTACGTGGACAAAATCACAAATTTGAATGATCATTATATTTGCTAATTAAAATACCTTCGGTTTATACTACAACAAAAAAGGACAATGAAAAGTGATTTTATCCTCATCATATATGCAAGTAATAAACTTGTTGTGATCTAAATATACTCATAACATACGTGTGTGTGTATATATAAATAAATCCTAAGTAATTGTAAGCATCTCAATCTCTCATTATTTCACAAACACAAACACAATGCCTTCGATAGTAGAAGAGATATGTATCGGAAACTTAGGCAGTCTCCAAACACTCCCCGACTCATTCGCCTGGAAACCTACCTCCGGCGACTCCGTTCTCCCTTCCTCCGCCACTACGGTGGAAGAGACCGTTCCGGTCATCGACCTCTCCGATCATGACGTCACTACTTTGATAGGAAATGCGTGTAAAACGTGGGGAGCGTTTCAGATAGCTAACCACGGGATTTCTCAAAAGCTCCTCGACGATATTGAGTCTCTTTGCAAAACCTTTTTCGATATGCCTTCAGAGAGGAAGCTCGAGGCGGGTTCTTCTGATAAAGGAGTTAGTGGCTACGGAGAACCACGAATCTCTCCTTTCTTCGAGAAGAAAATGTGGTCCGAAGGATTCACCATCGCCGATGGTTCTTACCGCAACCAATTTCGTACTACTTGGCCCCATGAATACACCAAATATTGGTAACGCTCATTACACACATATATTGCATAAATAGTTCACAAAAATGTTGCAAATGAAAAGGAACTTATTATAGTATTCAGAATCTTAAAATGTTTCATGCAATTACGGTTTATGATTTACACATGCAATATAATCTCGTAATATGCGTACTTGTAACATTCCGCGGCGA